AATTGTAAAGAAGAGATATAAAAATGGCAATTGATACATGAAATTCTTTGAAGTTTCAGGTGAATTATGGGTTCCTAAATTGGTGTTCATCTTACAGCTCTATTGTAAACAGGATTAGAACCACAAGGTTTGAGCTACTTTTCACCACAATGACCTAGTTATTGGGAAAAGAGAATTTAGGAAGGTGTACTAAATTGCATTGAGTCCTATTCCTGAAATATTTTTGTAGAAATACTTGAGAATCTCTGCAAGTGACTTGGAGCCAGAGAAACAAACTCACTGGAAAACAGACCATTACAGAGCTGCCTGAGAATGAGGCCTATTCAGGAATGTCCAGGGGAAGATGTTTCCAGGGAACAGACAATTGCATGGGACAGCTAAGACTGAAGATAAAAATGTGCTGATTAACTGAACATTGGGAGTACGTTAAAATTGTATAATGATCTTGAAGTTCATTATTGCATTACTTTCATCTCTTGTTTCATGGTATTTATGTTTACTGCATTTCTTGGTCACTTTGCTGATATGTACCTTTCCCCCTTAAAAGTAGTATATGGTGTGCCCTCTAAACAGCTTGATCTGTATCCTGCCTTAGTTTACATATACAGCCTGTTTGACAAGGTTTGCCTCCTTGAGGGATACATGAGATTGTAACTCTATATCAAAGTTTATTCAAATGTGTGACGTTGATGAAAACATAGGATTATGATCTGTGATGCTCATGGCCACATGTTTCCTTTTGTGATTCTAAGTCCCCTAATTTACAGCCAGTAATGCTTGCCCAAATCAATATGGCATAAGCAACAGAAATTAGGTTGATGTAGTTGGGGATAAAGGTGTGATATAAGACTGAATGCGGTGCTGAACCATATATATTTTGTTTTGTTGTTCAGTCACTTCCATATATAGTTAGTATAAATGGTGGAATTATTGAAAGTTATGTTGACTCAGTGACCCATTGTTCCCAGCCCTGCTTGTCAATCAGTGTTGGAGGCGGCTCTGTTGGGAAAGGTGACACTGAGTCTGCAGCTGTTTACATTACCTGTGCTTTGTCATGCACTCCTACCTATGACATCTGTATCCCTATCTGTAAATTGTTATTTATTTATTACCTTGGGGTTTATACACTGTACGCTCAAAATCAGTCAACAATGTGGCACGGTACCCAAAAATTTAATGCTACACACTACGTAAAAAAAAAAACCACGCCCAGAAAAAGAGAGGTCATGGTTCTACGTTACTCTTTCCTGGACAATCTACATCTGGAACACTGTGTTTATTTCTCAGCAACATTTTTTTTGCAAATAACTAGAAAAGTTTGTGTGTCCAGAAAAGAGTGACTAGGATGGTGAGAGAACTGGAAAACATACAAATAAATTTGGAGTTGAGTAAGGTTAGCCTGGAGAAAGGAAAACAGGTTAGACAAGATATCAAGTATTTGAAAGCTGCTTGTGGGACTAGATGTTTTTCTGCTTGATTCCAGGGAATAACTAGGTGAAAATTGCAGAAAGTCATATTTAGACTTAAGCAAATATGGGAGTACGGGGGGGGGGGGGGAAGAAATTCCTAACAATTAGTACTTTGCAAAAATAGAATGGCATGTCATAGAAAGGAGTATTTTTCATGTACGGAAAAGATTAAATGGCCTCTGAGATCCCTTCTGACCCTGAGGTTTTGTGACTTTCTAGGTAGAAATAAGGGTACAGATTCAAGAGATTTTGATGAAATAAACATTATTTAGCAATTGATAGTGGAAAAGACAAGTATCACATAGAGGCTTCTAAGAAGCTAGATGACAAAAGAGAATGGTTGGACCTTAATAGAAACAAGAAAGATGATGAGTAATTTTGGACATGAATTTGAGATGTTGGTGGCACATCCAGATGGAGGGATATACAGCAGGTGTGAGGTAGATAAGAGAAATTAGGGACAGACATATTAATTGTGGCATCATCTGAATAAAAATTATAATTGAACATATAATAAGAAATAAGATCCTTAGGGTAGAGAAGACCTATGACAAAGCATTGAAGCAAAACCACCATTTAGTGAGCACAAGATAGATTATGATACACCAAAGGAGATTTTTTTAAACAGTGGTCAGGTATACGGAGAGTAAGGTATGACCATCATCAAGGAAGCCGAGGAAAAAATTTTCTTCAGGAAGAGAAAATAGTCAGTAGTATTAAAAGCTGAAGAGACAGCAGGGAGAATAAAGAGTCCACAAGATTCAACAGCATGAGGAGACAGTAATTTTAAATGCAAAAGCAGAGCTACAGTTTTGTTGATGACTGACATACATAACAAGGTCAAGAATGGGTTAAAAAAAATAGACCTTGCCATCTTTGCTTACTTTTTATTTTAGCTTAAATTAATTTGCATTCTCCACCAGAGAGAATCTTGGGAATTTCTAAACCTATCGGATAATTATCTGGGACAAAGTATTATGATCTCTTCCCCTTCAGAGGGATTGAAAGAAAAGATTTAATCTTAGCCTGAGGTCACTCTGCTTAGCTTTTGTTAGCTAATAATGAATTAAAGAATTATCAGCCTGCTCTATCCTAGCAAACTGAAGTTGGAATGGTCCCTAGACCCTGAAGATATAAAGCCCAGAAGCTGGTAACAGCTAACAGCAACACCCAGTAGAAACTGCATCCCCAGCAAATTTAAGAACCACAGAGTAATGGTCAGCTGATACTATGAGCCCAGCAATCAGTATGAGTCATCATGAGAACAAATAGTACAACAAAAAACAGTGAAAATACAGCACCTGAGAACAGGCCCAGGGAGTGCAGCATGACATCATCACCAGAAGACTGTGATTCTACAAAGTACTTAGTAGCCCTTCATATTTACCACAATGCAGAAATCATAGAAGTAAAAACTTAGGTTTATTGTTATGTTCAAGCATAGATTCCGGTCTCAGTGAAAATCTGAACAATCTCGAAGATTTTGAAAGGTTTCTTATAGGAAAGATAATGTCAGCACAGAGAAATAATTCTTTTACATAATGCAATCTTGTACATTCATTCCTTTTAGGCTATAAAAGTTAAAGAGAAGATAGATCTATAATTTCGTACTTCCTTCAATGTCACAAAAGTTAAACAAACTTAAAGTCATAATCTCATACATCCTAAGGAAACAAATTTGGCCAAACAAACTCTATAGGTAAACTAAGTCAGGTTACAGATTAAACTACATTTAGAGGATTCACAATAGGCTAATTAGGGAGGACAATTTACAAATCTCCATGTACTGTAAATGTGAGTTTTGTCCTGCCACTGGTTTATGACTCAGAAAGAGAGAAGGAAGCTGATGACTTTGGGCAACTCTGCCTCACTTAAAGCGAATTCATTCTTAAGTCAAGATATCTTCAAAAATGAAGAACAAATAACATGTCTCCTAGGAGCCTGGGAAAGTTGAGGTTCCTCCTCTGACTTCTTATCTAAGGAATACTTAAGGTACCTAAGTAAAATTTTACATCCCACCTGACAGGGTTTTGGCCAGGTGAGACTAATATTATGATAGACTTTTAGTTAACTAAAATTTGCAAGAGTAACAATCCTGAGTCCCAAATAATTAAAGAAAATAAAAAATTCCCATAACAGGAAGAAGATGCTTCCATTAATGCCTTTGCTTTGAACTAATTGTTCTAGGAAAATTGTGACTAGGAAAAAAATGAAACAAACACAGGGGTAGAGGCTTGTTTTCAGCGGCCATAGTCGTCCGGAAAATACCCTGAATTTGGGGTAGGTATTCTGTGGAGACCACATGTGAGAAGAAGGGATCCTAGCCTTCAATGTAACAATTTTAGGTTTGTGGTTATGGTGAGCCAGGTTACAAGAAGTTGCGGAATGGGGTGATGAGTGATTAGAAGCAGCAAATGAAAATACTTAAAAAATACTGACTAACTGAATGATATAGAATAATAGGAGATAGATCTAGATAAATTTGGAAGGGAGTTCAGGTCATTTATTTAGTCCAAACCCTTGATTTTTACAGATAAGAAAGCCAAGGTCTAAGGAAATTAATAGACTTGCCCAAAGTTATGGGTAGTAATAATCAGAAATGGGATTTGAACCTAATTCTTCTGCCTCCAGAGTCAATGCTTTTTCCATTGTAGCAAACCAAGATATTTTTCTCTTTTTTCTTACATACATATATGAGAGTAGCCATTAAATTTGATAGTGATTCTTTCTGTGAAGAGAAACTGAGAATAGCTACAGAAGGGGAAGATAAAACCCTTTCTGGCATATCTCAAAGCCTAATCTAGGATTGTAGCTGAAGTCATCTTCAGACACACTGTAATTTTTAAAAATATATATACATTTAAAGTTATTTTGCCTGTACTAGTTGATTGTCCTATTATAGCATCAATCAATCAATTAACATTTATGAAGCACGTACTATGTTCCTGATACTGTGCTAAGCTAGCGATACAAAAAGAGGCAAAAGGTAGTCCCTGCCTTTAGGGAGTTTATAATCTAATGGGACACAAGAAAACAAATATATGCATACAAGCTACATATAGGATAAATAGGCACTAGAATTAAGAAGGATCAGGAAAGGCTTTCATTAGAAAGGTTGGATTTTATTTGGGAATGGAAGGTCATTAGTCTGAGTGGAAGAGGGAGGGAATTTTTGACATGAGGGCCAACCAGACAAAATGCCCAAGAAATGGAGTGGGGTGCTATGATCAATGGCTGGTCCTCCTCAGCATCTAGTACCAAATAATGTATTGTCAACACTCAGCCCAACCTGTCATGCCCAAGAAACAACATAGAGGGCAGTGTAGTGGTAACTTTGAAGCTCCCTTTGTTTTCATCCTAAAGGTGGCCTACCACTCATTTCTTTGTTCTACCCTGTGGTGGGGTGGCTCTTTATTTTCCCTCTCTCAGCTTTCATCCTAGTCAGGGAAACTGGTCCTTGTGTTTCTCTTAAGGTTCCTATGAAATCATGCTTGTAATATAGTCTTTCTTAATAAGAAAAATAGAAATTACCCAAAGGAAGTTAACACCAGTGAGCCTTCTTTCATTTCCCACATGAATCCTCCACAGGTAGGTTGAAAGTCTGGAAGCTCAGCTTCACTCCCAGGAGCAGCCAGCAAGGATGTTTGTTCAGGGGGTTTTCACTAATAATAATTTAAAAAAACATCATCAGCTGTTAGATTTGTCATTGATGCAATGCAGAAAACTCAGATCCCTCTGAGACTCTTAGGATGACAGTGTGGCTTGAGCAAACAGGGTAGCACCAAGCATTGAGTATGGAGCCTTTCCCAATCCCTTTCCTTTCTTCTTTTCCCCCTGCTAGCTCATAAACTCTGAAGTTGGGATACATATTCACATCTCCTAATTCCAAACCCACAGTCTGGCCACTACAGAACAGATATATAAATGTAGGTTATTACCACCTTTGCATCTTTGCTCAGGTTACTCTCCTATCCTGGAATATCTTAATATAACTTTGTCATTTATGAAGGAAAAAAAAAACATTTGTATGCTAAAAGACAAAATAGCTAATAAGAAATTATCTAACTAGAATCTAGTGAGAACTCATTCATTTTACTGTCATACCCTTAATAAACTATTATGAAACCCATAACCAACCTCAATCAAGCCCATCCATCTAATAAGTGTCTGTATAAAACATCAAGGGTTTGCAGAACTAGGAGGGCAAAAATTTCCAAATAAATCCGTGGATGTTTTCAATGCCTTTTGGTTTCTAGCTTTAGAAATTAGCACCAGTTATACAAAGCCAATAGGTCCAGAATTTTTCCAAGTATAAAAGTTTAGCTGAGTAGTATTCCCAGTGTCAACTGGGAATTTTCCCTTTCATTTTCCCTTTTTGAAAGAAAGGTACTCTAAGTATATGTTCTTTTCCACTCTTCAGGCATCTCACCAGTCTTCCAAGAGTCTGCAAAAATATTGATATCTAGCACTGCTGCGATTATTTTGCCCAATTCATTAAGTACTTTAATATGGAGAGTGTCAAACACAGCCCCTTCCAAAACAGATTAAAATGTAACTGGGAAGGATTACCTTCCATTTACAACTGTATGTATCTTATATAGGCAGCTAGGTGGCACAGAAGTAAGAGTGCTGGGCCTGTAGTCAGGAAGACTTATCTTTCTTAGTTCAAATCTGGCTGCAGACACTTACTAGCTGTGTGACCCAGGGCAACTGTTGGCCTCAGTTTCCTCATCTATAAAATGAGCTAGAAAAGGGAATGGCAAACCATTCCAGTATCTTTGCCAAGACAACCCCAAATGGAGTCATGAAGAGTTAGACACAACTGAAATAACTCAACAACAAAACATATGTTTCTAGATACTTGCATATTTTCTCTCCTATTGCCCTCCTTGAAGGCACGGATCTTGTTTTTGCCTTTCTTTGTATCCCCAGTGCCTGGTATATAACACAAATGATAAATGTCTAATGATTGATTTCTTGGATTCAAATCTTGCCTCTAATGTTTTCTACCTGCATGACTTCCAGCAAGTTATTTAACTCCCATTTGAATTTTTTTTTTAGATGTATGTAACCCTAGTCCCTAAGTCCATTGGCATGGGACTCTCTTTCATGATAAAGACCAATGGATTTGGTGAGAGCTAGAGAGAGATTTTCAATCTCTCTGGGAGTCTCTTCAGGTCTCTTTAGTCTCTTTGAGTCACTTTGAACTCTTCAGGCTTTCAGATTCCAACTTCAAGGGAGAAAATGGACAAGGTGAGATTGATGTCATCCATCTTCTCTCTTAAAACTATAAGCCTGAAATGACTTGAACTCTTGAAGAGACTGAAGCTCTCCTCAATCTGCTCTCACCAACTCAGCTGCACTTCTCCACAAAGGCAGAGGACATTTACCTCTACCAATGAAGAGTCTTATCCCAATGAACTTTGGAGTTACATGTAAAATTAATGAGTTGAACTAGATGACCTCTAAGATCCCTGTAATAGGAATAAGTGTTAACACAAAAAAGGCAACTTTTATTTTTAGCCACTATTTTGTGACTGTAGTAAGAATAAATTTTATTACCTTAATAAGACAGTAGGAATAAGTTTATCAACTCAGCATAACTAATTCCTTTTTGGTTTTAGCCTCTATTTTGTGATTGAGCTATCTCAAGTGAGTTGTTTTCCTATAAGTTGTTTTTTCAACAATAAAATTAATACCTGTGTAATACAATGTAGTAAACATCTGTGTATTCTTAAACAACCAACAAACATATGTAGACCCTCTGTTAAGGTAGACCACCAGTGAAAAAAAGTTATAAATTACTTTGTTAGTAGTTTATGTAATAAACTACTAATCAAATTATGTGGTAAGCAACTTAGGAACACCTGTAGCTAAAAGAATAAAAATCTGACCTGGGACCCTAGATGTCTGCCTGTGTGCATAAGGCCTGACTAGAAAATCTTGTCTCAAGTTGGCTATGAAGAAACTTACTGAAACTTCTAAGAATCAAGTTAGTGATTTGTTCTTAGAGGAGAACATTATTTTCACTCTTTGATTAATGAAGTTTGATTGCTAGCATTAAAAAGTATAAGTCTAACTAGTATTTCAGTCTCCTACTTAGCATAAGTAAAGGTAAATCATCAGCTAAGTATGAACCCTCTATTACAGACGAAGTAGTTGTTATGTAAGCTGTTTTTGTATAATAAGATAAGACTTAAGTGATAAGTTTGGCAATGATGTCTGTCACCCAAATTGGCAAATAACTTCTCTAATGAAATATACCCCCCTAGACTGATAAACACCAGCTAATAAATATGCATATGTCACAATTCTGGGGGAAAAAAACTGATAACCACTTAACTAATGACATTAAATTTGATAGGTTTTTTTCATCATAAACTTAGGTAATCAGCCATCAGACTATGACAGACTCCTGAATTTTCCACACTTGGAAATGCCAGAATCCTATTCTCTCAACAATGCTAACTGACAGCTTTGCCAGAACGCCATCCCAGCCTCCAGCTAAGTAGAAAGAACTTTGTCACTAACATCCTTAGAAGACATATTTACCTAGACCTTTAGCAATCAGGTTGGTGCTTTGTTCCTGTGGGTTTGTGTATTGTTGAATAGTCAGTAAAACTTGATTGAATGCATTGATAGTGTAAGTCTTCATTAGAGTATTATCAGTCCTAATAGTCAATAAATATTTAACAAGTGTCTACTATGTGCTGGCACTGTGTTAGGCATTGGGGACATTGTGTTAAGCATTGGGGACACAAATACTAAAAAGAAAAACACCACCAGTCCTCAAGGAATTTGCAATTTAATGGGGGAAGACAATACATTTAAAAAAAGCTGAAAAGGTGAGGGAAGGGGTAATACCAGGCTATGATGGAAAAGTTCAAAGAAGTCTAAGATTGCAGCCACACTGTAAATTAAGAGATAGCTGGCCTGGTCTCCCTCCTAAAATGGAGGTTTTGGAATTGGTGAAGAGCAGGGACAACTAGATCCTGCAGGATGATGGGACTTCTCAATGATGAGGTTTCTGGGCTTATGATGAAGTTCAAACATGTCCAATAGAGTGCAGCCATATGGGTAATGAAGGGGTAAGTCCATTTATCTCATATTAGCTCCTTCCATATCTAGATTCTATAAAAAGCAAATGACATCAGGGAAAGCAAGCTCCTCCCACTAGCAGGAGCTCCTCCTACATTTTCTCTCCCTCTCTATTTCCTTAAAAAGGTTTCCCACAACAACTTCTCTTTCCACAAGCGGCTCCACTTTCTGTGCTAGCATACTGGTTAACCCCTTTTTGGCGATTAAATCATTTTAAAGATGAAGATCCAAGTAAACTCTTTAAGGAAACTGGGATGTGGCCTGGGGACACCTTGGACTAATATTAATGTTTCTACTCCATATGTGTTTCTTTGAGGGGTTGTTCTATCTGAGTGCTCCTAGCTGTATGCTGAAGTAATTTCTAAAGTGGGGTTTCACCTACTATAGCTTTATCCCAAAAGCCTGTTCATCTCTTAGATACTTGCTAAGATCAAATACAACAGAGACTGAACATTTTTGGCCAATTAAGGTATAACCAATAGAAAATTTAATTTTTTAGCAAGCACTATTTGTATAGAAATATCTACATAATTAGCTTTTCCCCCCTTAAATAAGCACTTTAATCTTATAGCTCTATGAACTTCATTTCAGGTGCTCAATTCCCTCCCCTGAGTATTGAGCTTTTAATGGCAAATGGGAGAGATTTTAGCTGAGGATACAGGCCAAGTATTCTTTCCCTCACCCAAAATATACCCAATCAAGTAAGATTCAGAAAGTGGTTACTAGGCAGCATGTAGAAACAAATGCATTCAGCCAGATAGTCTGTGCTCAGAAAGGTTTCATATGCAAAACAGTACATTCCATAATCAAGTACATTCACTGAAGGGGCAGATAAATGTCAGTAGATTTAACTGTACAGACGAGGTAGTAGTATTCAAAATTGAAAAATTATCACAGAACTAACTAAAGATAACATAACTATACATTGCTACACAGACTAAACTCTGCAAAAGGACATACCAGGAACATGTACTACTAGATTTTACAGAGGAATATAATTCTAAATTACACATAAATGGATCCAGATATACTTGAGGAAATTCCAGGCCAGTGCCTATAAGGATCAATCTATCCATTAGTCAGTCAATCAACAGAAAGCATTGTACCTTGAGTCAGGAAGACTCCAATTCAAATTTGACCTCAGACCCTCCACCTCTGTCTTAGTTTCCTCAACTATAAAATGGGAATAATAACAGCACCACCTCAAGGGATTGTCGTGAGGACCAAATGAGATAATATTTGTAAAACACTTTGCAAACCTTAGAGAACTATACAAATGGTAGCTAACATTAGATGTAGTGAAATCAATTTAGTTTCATGACATTCTAATCCTGAGTGCAAGAATGGAGAAGTTGGACTGAGGGCAGGGAGGAAGAACCACATATAAGGATTAGGAGGTCTGTAATGGCAGAAGATCAGAGGGGCAAAGGATTTTATAGTGGTGGAAAGAGAATGAACATTCATGAGGTCAAAAATAGGTATAGAGGCAAGTGAAGTGAAATAGTCCTTCAAGGCTCCAAAGACCAAGAGTAAGTACAATGTGACTAAGCAGAGGGGAGAAGTA